TTCTCCTTGCAATTTTCAAGTTTAACATGAGGCTGATAGTAGAGCTTACCCTACTTTCCTGTAACCCACCTCTCTGATGTTTCTACCCAAGTATTTGTAAGTTGTCAGATCCCCGAGAAACCCAGAACAAGGCTCACTCAGTACCTGTGGCTCCTCCCAGCATTTCTTACCCTGCCCCCACCTCACTTCTCCAGCCCAAGGGCTTCGCTTCCTTTCTGCCAGCTTCTCATTCCTACATAAACCTGGCATTTAGGCTTCAAGTTCTTTTGGTCCTCCACTCTTGGCTCCCGGTTCTCTCTCTTGCCCCTCTCTCTTCTCTTCCTCTTTCACTCTCCCCTCCTCCTCTGATGACCTGGTTCATTATAGATTCTTCCAGATGCCTCTGGCTGAATTCTCCCTCATATCTACAATAAAACTTCCTCAACTATACCTTGGAGTGGTCATGTCCTCATTTTTCATTCATAAAATATCTTGATTTATGACTTTTTGTCTTATAAACTTGTGGTTGATATATTGTGCACCCCAATAAATTTATCTGGGGGTCAGAGAACAGAACAGCCACTATATTAAATATAGGTTTAGGCAGAGGTAGCACACGCCTTTAATCCTAGCATTCCAGAGGCAGAGATCTGTCTGGATCTCTGTGAGTTCAAGGCTGTACTGGAAATAGCCAGGCATGGTGACACACACCTTTAATCCCTGGAAGTGATGGCAGGAAGCAGAAAGGTATATAAGGTGTAAGGACCAGGAACTAGAGCCTTGTTAAGCTTTTAGGCATTTAGCTGAGATCTATTTGGATGAAGACTCAGAGGTTTCCAGTTTGAGGAAACACGATCGTTGAGGAAATGGCGAGGTGAGGTTGGATGTGGCTTGTTCTGTTTCTCTGACCTTTCAGCGTTCACGCCAATACTTGGCTCCTGAGTGTTTTTATTAATAAGATCTTTTAAGATTCGTGTTACCTGTTGCTAAGTTCACAAATACCTCTTGTCAGTGCTAGCAACTGGCCCATGCTTTCAAGGACCTTCTGGGACCCCCAACAGTGGTATCCTCCAGGCCTGCCACAGTTGAAGGACTTCATAGCAAATGCAGATTGAGAAGATTTCTCAGTGGAACCCTGCAGCAGTCTCTGCCTGTCAATCATTCTTGCTTGGCAGGATGTCTGTTGACATGAGATTACTACAACCTTTATTATAGCATGGTATTATAAGGAATGTTTTTTTGAATAAACTGTGTATCTTCAAAAGGCAAAAAAAAAAAAGATTCGTGTTACATTAACAATCAGCTTATCAACAAATGTTGAATGATAAGTGATAATTGGAGAATTAGTCTTTATACTCTTAGCAAAATCTTCTGTTATCTCCAGTCATCTCTCTCTCTTTAATTCTTTCCTGCCTAATCCATATAATCCCTTCCAAGTATGGCCACCTTTGGTAAGGTATAAAAACAGATCTGAGATCTCAAGAAAGTTGTCACACAATCCAAAGTATTTCAGCAAGGCAAAAAGTTTTATTTCTGTAGAAGTGTGTGTAGCTGCATTTAAGAAAGCAAGCACACCCAGTGAGTAAGCATCCACTGAGTTTTTATTCCTAATACTAAGTGGCTTTACATTCCTGTGAGCCTGGTTAATTTAAAGCCACTCAGTTAATAAGAAGAATGCAGTTTTGAGCACAAAGTGTAACCCTGAGCACATGTTTTGATTTCAAGAAGTGCTGACCCTGGGAAAAAAATCTGATTTTCTGCCAAGTAGCTTACTAACTGTTTTTTTTTTTTAACCTTTTTTTTTTTTTTTTTTTAAAGACAGGGTTTCTCTGTGTAGCCAGATCTCATTACAGATGGTTGTGAGCCACCATGTGGGTGCTGGGAATTGAACCAGGGTCCTCTGGAAGAGCAGTCGGTGCTCTTAACCTCTGAGCCATCTCTCCAGCCCACTAACTGTTTTTTAAAAACGTTTGTCAGCTGGGTGTAGTGGTACATGGTTTCAATTACAGCACTCAGGGGACAGGGCAGGTGGGTCTCTATGGGTTAGATGCCAGTCTATATAGAAAGTTCTATGCAAGGCAGGGTCACATACAATGAAACTATCAACAAACAAACAAACAAACAATGGAGCTTGTCTTACTTAACCCTCTTTGATAGAAAAGATGGCACAGGGACCAGAACTATGGCTCAGTGTTTAAGAACACTTGCGGATCTTACAGAGCACCTGGATTTGGTTCTCCCACCCATTTTTGACCACCTGTACCTCCAGTTCCAGCAGATCTAATAACCTCCTTTGGCCTCCAATGAAATAAATAAAAAGAGAAAAGACAGTACATTTTGTTTACATTTCCCACATAAGGATGCTATATATTATACATTTTGATTACAATTCTATAAATTATATTCATTATATGTTTTAAAGATTTATTTAATTTTTATTTTATGTGTATGAGTATGTGCCTACATGCTGTGGGATGGTCTGTATATCAAATGTGTTGTTCTGGTCTGTATGTCAAATGTGTTGTTCTGATTGGTTAATAAATAAAACACTGATTGGCCAGTAGTCAGACAGGAAGTATAGGCGGGACTAACAGAGAGGAGAATTGAGAGAACAGGAAGGCAGAGGGAGACACTGCCAGCTTCTGCCATGACAAGCAGCATGTGAAGATGCCGGTAAGCCACGAGCCAAGTGGCAAGGTGTAGATTTATAGAAATGGATTAATTTAAGATATAAGAACAGTTAGCAAGAAGCCTGCCATGGCCATACAGTTAGTAAATAATATAAACGTCTGTGTGTTTATTTTATAAGTGGGCTGTCAGACTGCTGGGGCTTGGCGGGACCCGGAGAGAAAACTCAAGCTACACCTACATGTGTTTATGTACATTTTATGTATGCAGGTATGTAAGGAGGCCAGAAGATGGCATTGTATCCCTTGGAATGGGTACAGAGAGTTGTGAGCCATCATATGGGTAATGGGAACCGAATATGGTCCTCTGCAAGAGCAGCAGGTGCTTGTAGGTGCTGAGCCACCTCCTCAACATAGATTATAAATTTTAAAGTTTGCCAAATGAATCAGGGGTAAGCGGCTTATAACTATAATGTCAACACTTGGAAGGCTAAGGCAGGAAAATTGCTTGTTTGAAGCTAGCCTGGTCTACTAAACAGTTTGAACTACAATTTGAGATCTCTCAAAAAAACCAAAAACATCAAATAAACCAAAATTGAGGTACAATTTATATACAGTAACTTGGGAGTGTTGTAGATGTAACCAACTGTCTTATTAAATAAGGAACACAGAACCAATGTAAAAGAGAAAGCCGAGAGGTCAGAGCTCAGAGCTAAAATTTTACCCTTCCTCCTGTGGTGCTCCTAGCTTCCTGAAAGAGAGCTATTTCCTGTGTGTATGTCTTTAAATAATATTTCTGTTATGCCTTCTCATTGGTTGTAAACCCAAACACATGACTGCCTCGTCACTGCCTGTAAGTACAGCCCTCTAGGTCTTAAAGACGTATGTCTCCAATGCTGGCTGTATCCCTGAACACACAGAGATCTATGGGATTAAAGGCGTGCACCACCACTGCCACGCTCTTTCTATGGCTCTAATAGCTCTGACCCCCGGGCAACTTTATTTATTAACATACAATTAAAATCACATTTCAGTACAAATAGAATACCACCATAGAGTGTTATGCTTTTTTTCCCTCCCATGAACACAGTCTTGCTATGCAGCCCAGGCTACACTGGAACTCATAATCCTACTCGGAATTAAGTGCTGGGAATGTGGGCCTTTACCACTATTCCCGTGCCACTATTCCTGGCTCTATGCATCTTTTTATTTTTCTAGAATAAAATGTTTTATTTTACCTTTTAATCTCTTTTACCACGATCAACCTCACTGAACTATCCTTTGGTTCTGGATCTGAAAAATGGTGTTTGTTTGAAAGTCTTGGTGGCACACAGGTGGCTAATTCAAAGCCAAATTGTACTATATACTAAAATCCTATCTTAAAAAGTATTGTGGTTTATTTAGGTGTATTTCCTTTGACTAAAAAGAACATACCCTCCCTTTGAGACCCAGCTACTTCGTGTGTGTGTGTGTGTGTGTGTGTGTGTGTGTGTGTGTGTGTGTGGTGTGTATATATGTCTGTGTGCTGAGATGTATGAGCCCCAGGCTTACAAAGTGCAAAGGATAACATCTGGTATCCTCCTTTATTCCTACCCACATTAAAAGTCCAAAGGATAACATCTGGTATTCTCCTTTATTCCTACCCACATTATTCCCTTTAGCCAGGGTCTTTTTCTGAACCTGTAGCTCACCAGTTTTTCATTCAGCCTGGTAGCTAGCCAAGCTCAGAAATCTTAATGTCTCTTCCACTCACAGAAAATACCTAGGTACTTATTTGCTTTAGAATACAACAGGCCTTGTATTGGGACATTCCTTATTTTCTTTTTTCATGTTTAATTATGTATGTGGCGAGTTGTCCTTACTGACTCACTTGTGCTATCCAAGTGTGTACCTCAATGCTTTACATATAGGTAATCAATAAATGTTCACTATCAGTGTGACTATTAGCATTTATAGTTGTACCTCATTATTTCTGTAGTGCACTTACAGGATCTTATTTTAATCCCTGTTGCAATCCTGTAAACTAATAGCCACTTCCGTTCTAGTATTTCTTTTCTATGGATAAGGGAGACAGATATTTAGTGTTAGTAAAACTAAGCTACAATTAATTTGCTAACTTCAGGTTACTGGTCCTTGATACTGTACCATTGGCGCAGGTCAACACCACAGCAGGTATCCCTGCACTAGAACTTGTAGCTCGCTTTGCGAGGCACTTCCGGAACCCAGAAAAAAAGATGCTCACGTCTCCCTAGGACCCAGTATCGAAGACTACATTTCCCATAGGGCCACAGAGCAAAACCTCCGGCGATTGGTTGCGATCAACAGCCTATACACAACGGCGAGGAGTTGGTAAGGACCAATCAATCACATGCCGCGGAGGGGGCGGGCCCTCCCGCGGGAAGCTAGATTGAGCCGAGAGCTACCGGAGCTGCAGCTGAGTTCGGTGGCAGTGTGTGGCCATTTCCACGTCGTCCTCCCCTTAAGGGTTTCGCTGAGGCTGCGCGCGGCTCTGCGCTTGAGAGTCCGGTAAGAAGCGCGTGCCCGCGTGCCTGGAGGCCCCGCGTGCCGGCTCTGGAGCTTCAGGCTCCTGGACGTCCTCGGTCCGTCCGTCAGGGCAGTAAGCGCTGGCTGGCGCCGCCCGCGGAGGAATTCTTTGGAGATCACGCCTTGCTTGCTGGAGGAGGAAGCTCGGCGGCGTGTCGCCTGCGTTGTCGCAACCCGATAACGCCTCCACCCAGGTCGAGCGGTTCTGTCGGTGCCTCAGCTCCTCAGGTGCTTCTCCCCGGAGATGCAGCCCAGAGCCCCGGGGGCCGCGGACCTTGCTGGGTTCCTTGCTCCGTCTACACGCGCTCGGTTCCGGAACGGCGTGCATTGCCTTTAGCTCTGCAGGTTCCTGTGGGAAGTTCTGTATGATGTAACGCTCGTATTCAGTAAATATTTACCGAACGCTGTCTGCCCCAGAAAAGTTAAGATGCTAGGAGGTTGGTGAGGCAGCCTAGGCAGTTGAACCACGTGGTTTTTTAGTTTCTTTTTCTGCTCTTGACTTCTGCAGACTCTAGCGTTAGCTTGACCATGGCCTGACCGGACTCCTCCCAGGGGTAGGGATAGGAGGTGGAATAGTAATCGCAAATGATTCTGATGGTGGTGGCACCGGATTCCACAATGAGAAAAGACACAAAGGGAGTATAATTTTAGTTCTGTTTGTCTTAAAAATTTGGGCAAAAATTCCTATAACACATGGGAGGTGTGGTGGGAGGTGTGTGGTTAGATGTGGAAACGAGAGAGTTAGTGATAAGGACATCTGAGTTGCGCTTGTCCAGCAGGCAGGAAGCCTGGTTTAATCAATCCCTAGTTCAGCATAAAACTGGGCGTGGAAGTAGGATCTGAAGCTTAAGGCTATTCTCTGCTACGTAATGAGTGAGTTCAAGTCCAGCCTGGGTTACATGAGATCCTGTTTATTTTAAGACAGAGCAGTGACTATGGTATGGCAGGCATAGTTTGTAGCCCCGGGAGGAGAGTGAATATCTAATGGAGCTGGTAGAACTGTTCTTGAAACTAGTGGGATGGTGCCTAACAGCGCACCTGTTGCTATAAAACAAGATCTCTTTTTCATAGAGGTATGGCGTAATAACTTGAATAACATCTTTTAGGGCTTCAGGCTTCCTCCGTCCTATTTTAAAAAAAGAAGAGTAATTTCTTCTTTTGAATATAGTTATGGCTGTCAGCAGAAAGCCTCTGAAAATTTAGAATAGATTGAACAGTGAATGATCTCTTTGCAGAAAATGAAAGAAAATGGTTGAATACTTGCACCTGCCCCTGTCCCCTCCTCCACTTTCATTCATGGTTGAACACCAAGTTCTAGGCCCATTACCTCTATACCTGTGGCTTAGAAATGACGTTAGGTATATTTCTACTTCTCTCAAGTATGTGTTGGTATTACAACCAAGTTTTAGCATCCTAAAAACCCTTAGTCACTGGTGTCCACCTTTTGTTGTTGTGTTTTTATTGTTGTTGTTCCTCTCTGCTTTATTTCCTATCTTACTGTCAGGTCTTAAACGGTTTTTAAGGAAGACTTAAGATTCTTGAACTTTAAAGATTGAGCCCGAAAGCTGGATGTGTCCTGAGCTGTGGCTGTGCCTAGTGGTAGAATGCTTGCCCTTGCAAGTATCCAGCCCAAGAGTGAATCCTTCCAGCTGGTGGGCAAGGAGGGAGATTAACCTCAGTCCCTGATTATGTCCATTCCTGTGGGCCAGCAGGAATTTTGTGTGAGAAAGTTTCAACTACAGCTTCTAGTGATTTCTTGGTTTTATCCTTGCATGTTTTTAGGAACTTAGCTAATGAATGATTAATAGAAGAATGAATAAATGAGCCAGTGAATTGATAGCAGCCCAGTTCTCTTCTAGCTTTTAAAAATTAGTGGGAGAAAAAAAATATTTCAAAAATGAGATATGTACACAGATGCCTACAAAGTAGCAAATGAATTCAAACTAGAGATTAGAGGCCCCAAATGAAAGAAGTATCTTGCAAGGGACTTGTGGGCAGATCACTAAAGCAGCTGAAGTAGGAGACTGCTGAGAGAGCATTGAGATCATTTGCTTATAGTGCAGAAAAGTATTTTTTATCCTACTCCAAAAAGGAAGTCCTTCTGCAGACCCACATTAGGGTTGTTCTCTCTCCAGAGCTTGCCACTTACATTGGCATATTAGAAACGGATTGTCTTATATCTTCATCTTATTCTGTAATTTGCTTGGTTTTCATTTGTTCTCAGTGCTGGGGATGCTGGGGATGCTGGGGATGCTGGGGATCTGCTGTAATGCTTTGTACATTTGTACACATACAGGCAAGTGATTTACCCTGAGCTGTATCCCCAGTCTTTTAGAATAGTTCTCAGGTGCCACCTGAGTTATGTACTTTCAGCATCTGATAGATGCTGTAACCAATTAGTCCTACATTTATTTACCCTTTTGAATGTTTGCTGTGAATACAAATGTGAGTGGTTAAAAAAAAATGTTCAAGTCAGAAAAAGAAAAAAAAAAAAAAAAAAAAGGCTAATTCACCAGGTCAGTTCTTGGGACTTTTTTCTATACAGCAGTTATTTACATGTATACAGATATTAAATATAAAACAATTTCTGATAATCTATTGAGGGTTATTATGAAACCATATATTTTTTTATTTACCCTAAAAGATGTGTCAAAGAATCTGTTCTACTTAGAATCAGAGTAGTTATCACTTCTCTACTGTTTGGCTAAGATCAAGCATAGAATCGGCCTAGTCAGTTGTAAAACATACTGCATATTCTAAGCCTAAGGAACTGAACACAGAGACTTTTTTTGGAGGTGCGGCTGTTCTTTACAGAAAAGTAAAGTTTCAGTGAATGCCCACTATGTTAAGGGAAAGGATAATCATCAAGAGGATTTAATTTTTAAATTTTACTTATGTCTTTATGTTTGTATGTATTGGGGGGGGGTGTTGTTCAAGTGTGCTGGTTTGCACATGTTGGTCGAGGTCTTAGGAGGTCTGTTCTTTTCCTCCCATGGGCATCTGGAGATTGAACTAAGGTCATCAAGTTTACACAGTAAGTGCTTTTGCCTACTGAGCCTTCTCCCTGGCCCAAGGGGATTTACTTTTAAGAGAAGGTTCTGATGGTAATTAGAAATGCTCCACTGTAATGGTAATTAGACCTAATAAAAGATAACCGCCTACTAGAAAAATCAGTAGGTGCTTAGACTAAGCCTTCTGGAGGAAGACCTCTTAGGTTCTCTAAGTGATAAATTGCACATTGTTCTTTAAGGATGATAAGCATATGGCTGATGCAGAATTGGATTTTGCTGTTTGTTTTGTGAAAGGATCTCATTTAGCCAAGGCTGACCTCTGAGCTCACTATGTGGACAAGAATAGCCTTGAAGTCTTGATCTCTTTACTTCTGAGAGTGTTGGGATTACAGCAATGCACCACCACACCTGGCTAGTAGTAGATTTTCAAATACCTAAGTTGCAGAGTTTTATCTTCAGTTCCCACCCATTTATTACACGTATTCTTTTTATCTATTTGTATTTGCTACTCATTATTCTCTTGCTTCTGTGGACTCTTTCATATTATCCATATATTTATGTATTTCCTTGTAGATCTCAGAATTTATATGTGGGTTTGGCTGTTTATAGTATATAGTGAACTGTTGCAAAGGCGAAATTTACATAAATATGATAGTTAATTTTTTTCATTCACTCTTCCACTCTTAAGAACCAGCTATATTGCCTTAGTATATTTATTGGTTATTGACATGAGGTATTCCCTGGGGAGTTCATACCACATTTTCTATAGGATGAAATTTCCTGAGTTTGCCTCCACTTGCCCCTTCTACCATATCCTCTGTGTTCTCATATGGACCAATGTGTTACTTTCTTTTTGGGAAATATATCCAAGAGTGAAATTGCTGGTTTTCTGCATGGTTAATTTGACTGACCCCTCAAGAATGGTTCGTGTTGTCTACATTCCAGACAAGGAGGCTGCTCTACAGAGTGGCTCTAGGTGTCTGCATTCCAGCCAGCAAACATGAAGGCATTCTTTGGCATTATCTACTATTTTGAGTCCATGTCTATTGGGAATAATAGCTATCGTCATGTTTTAATTCTTTGGCATTATCTACTATTTTGAGTCCATGTCTACTGGGAATAATAGCTATCGTCATGTTTTAATTCTTTGATTGCTAATGAATTTAAGAATTTCTTAATTTATTTGTCTTGTTCTCTCTCTCTCTTTAAAGACAAGTCTGGTAGTATAACCGGTCCCAAACTTGCTGTGTAGCCAAGTACAACCCGATCCTCCTGCCTCCAGCTCTTAAGCACTAGGATTATAGGTTTGCCTCACCCAGGCCTAGCATTTCTTTCCCTTGGCTATATTTGTCTTTTTTCTTGTTCTTTTGGCTTCCTAGTATTATACTTTTTTTTTTTTTATTAAATATGGAAGCTCTAGATGTTAATCCCTTTTAGTTTTAGACATAGCAGAATCTTTTCCTAATCTATCATCTGTGCTTTTGTTTTAGTTTTTATGGGATCAAACATCTGAAAAATTACAGGGCATGGTTGCCCACATCTTTAATTCCAGCATTTCAGATTAAAGCTACATAGAGAAACCTTGTCTCAAAACCAAAACCAAAGCACAAAAAACAAAAACAAACCAAAAAATTACAGATACTGAGCTGGTAGTATATTTTATTATATTGTAAGTCCTTAGTTTCACTGGTTCCAATAAACACACACACACACACACACACACACACACACACACACACACACACACACACTTTTTCTTCTCTCCCATACATCCAAGTTGAATTTTTGAGACTTAAGTTCCTTTATGTTAAGTCATTTAAGTTTTCCATGTAAATTTTAGAACAAATGTAGCAAGTGAACAAAACAAAAACATAAAAAAAAAGCCCCATATTTTGTTTAGTTTTTAAAAAATGTGGCCATGTGGTCTCATGCTTATCTGGTGACTCTACAACAAGATCTCAGAATTTGTATGTATGAGGACTGAATTATTTTATGGTAGTGTAATGTCTTAAGACTGAAAACTAAGTTTATATTTCTAGGTTGAAACTTGAGTACAGTAGGGACCCCACTGAGAAGTACCACCCCCCCCTGCAACCCCCCCTCCACCATGACAGAGTTTTTCTACTAATTCAGAGATTCGCCTGCTTCTGCCTCTGATTGCTAAGACCAAAGATGTGTGCCTCTATGCCTAGCTTCAAGTGTTTTTGTGAAAATGGAGGGATGGAGGCACTCTTCACAGTTAAATTTACTAAATGTATGCGCTTGCTCAGTGGCTCAGTCATCCTGAGAAAGACATGAAAATAATAGAATGACGATTGACTATTTGCCTGTAGCTGAAGTTTTCCTGTGTTTCATCCAGTCCGCAGCTGCTCAGACCCAAGTTAAACACACAGAGGCTTATATTAATTATAACTTCTTGATCATTACCTCAGGCCAACTACTGACTAGCTCTTACACCTAAACTCAGGCCATTTCTGTTAATCTATATGTCGCCATGTGTTCCATGGCTTTACCTGTGTGCCGATACACGCTGCTCCCAGGACGGTGGGCTGGCATTTCTCACTCAACCTTCCTCTTCCCAGAATTCTCCTTATCTGCTTATCGCTGCTTATACTTCCTGCCTGGCTACTGGCCAATCAGCGTTTTATTTGTCAACCAATCAGAGCAACACATTCACAGCATACAGAGCATCCCACAGCATTTGCCTGATGTCAAAAGCCATGTCTCATTATCTGTGGGAAAGATTGTACTTTTTTCCCCTAGGAAGTTTGGGTATCATTCTTAGAGAAATTCCACATGGATGACCTTTCTTCTAATGTCACACCCTGTGCTCAGATAATCTTATTCCAGGGTGGATCACAGCATTATTAGTTGGGCACATTATAGATTAAGGTTTTTGGCCCTTTTTTTTCTCATTAGAAATATATATATATATATTTTTTTACTTATAAACTGTATGGCCGTGGCAGGCTTCTTGCTAACTGTTCTTATATCTTAACCCATTTTTATAAATCTATACCTTGCCACGTGGCTGGTGGCTT